CGTCATTTACTTACCTGGATGACTGAGCATGCAGCAAGACACATGAAGGGTGGGTTTAAGAATTTCTCACCGTACTGTGTGTGTGTGTGTGTGTGTGTGTGTGTGTGCATATAGATGCATGGACAGACTGCATACAAACCTGCAGGATCTGTTGAATGATGGCAGGTAAAGAAATAAAGCTGCTCATAGCGTTGAGAACCTTCATCGTGAGCTCCTTCAGCACTAAGACATTTACAGACATGATGAATTAGCCACACCAAGAACTGATTCAATAACAAAACAATAACAAAAAAACGCTTGTACAATTTTCTCTCTGATGAGCAACAAAATCACAGCTCAAACAGTCTCACGGGTCCTTCTGCAGTTAGAGCTAAACTGTTTTATTTCCTTTGAAACAAAGTTCATGTCGTCAAATCAGCTCCCCACAGTGAGCTAGCCCGTCAGTGCTGAGGACTACAGCATATTCATCACCCTGCTCACCCCCCCGGACATTCTCACTGAATAAACTCAGACTCAGTTATGTCTGCACTGGGTTCACTGCAAAAGCTCAAAATCTTACCAAGTATATTTGTCTAATTTCTAGTCAAAATATCTCATCACACTTAAAATAAGACACAATCAGCTACAGAGCAACATTTCAGTGAGGTATGGGGACTTGTTTTGAGACGGTGCATCTTGGATCTGGAGAATTTTCACTTGTTCCATTGGCTCTTTTTTTCACTTAATACAAGCTCTAAGCTCTGGCATGCAGGATCAAACCATCAGTGTTCAGAACAGTGGAGGGTTCGCTTTATCTCCTGAGCTATGCTAACGTGACCCACCGGTCACTGCTGAACCCTGAGAGCGGGCAGGAAGGACAATGGGAAGGAGGTAATACTGGTCCTGGGTCAATGAAATATTCTTTTAAGGAAGTGCTGCATATTCTATCAAACAAAGGTAAACACACTGAGCTTTGTCTGAGCACATACAGACAAAATAACTAGGATCATTTGACATTTTTAAATGCTCTAGTCTAAAACAGCGGTCTCCAACCACGGACCAGTTTATGTCCGACAATATTTCCATGGACCGGCCTTTAAGGTGTCGCGGATAAATGCAACAAAATAAAACTAGTACTGAAAAAAAGAAGATTTATTCATGACACACGTGAAAAGACCCAGGAAAACCGAGTTAACGATAAAAACGATAACAAAATAACGCTGAAAACCGATAAAAACCCAGAAAACCAGACATTTCACACCTGAGCCTCAACTCTCGCGGCCCGGTACCAAACGACTCATGGACCGGTACCGGTCCGAGGCCCGGGGGTTGGGGACCGCTGGTCTGAAATGAGGCGGTAGGACTTTAACTAAAGAGTCTCAATAGTTTTTCCACCACTGTGGTTGAACATCAACATCCAAACCTAAACTTGATGTGTAACGCTGGCCTGACAGTGTGTTTCACACTGTAGTTGTATTTGTTCCATCTCCTGCTGTAGCACAAGCTTATAATCACTATATACTTTAACAAAATGTGTTAAATTTACAAAAAGCCATCAGAGAGCTGCACAGATCTGAAAGACTAGAGAGGAAGCATCGTCATAGTGAGGCATCTTTGTTTACATGTGTAGTGATGCATGCAAACTGTTACCATCAGAGGTGTGTTTAGCATTGAGCCCCTTTACTTGTTTCTGAGACGCCATCATTGTGTCCAACAGTGGAAACCAGAGAACCTGTGAGATAAGGAAAACAAGGAATAACTAGCAATGCCAGTTCTTCACAGCAAGCGTACCCGCGCACAGCACCCACCTCTCTCTGTTTCTGGTCCAGGCCCTGACAACTTCGATGACAGAAGACAATGATGTCATTCACAGACTCCTTTAATTTCATCAGCACCGATTCAGTTCTTACAGCCTCGTCCCATCTCCCATCCTTCGCTCCACTGTCACTCTCAGCAGTCAGAGCACACAGTGTTTCCTTCAGGGTCTTCACAGAGAGCAAAAAAGCTTTTTGACACAACAATTACATCCATAAGACAGCAGCAGTATAACAACTCGGTCTTTCACTATTTTAAGTATGAAAATGTTTTACTTCACAATGAAAAACACTGTCAGTGTAAACACCAACATACCACTTACAGGTCACTTTGTTATGCACACGTGTTCATCTGCTTTGCAATGAGAGTATTGACTCAGCCAATCACACAGCAGCTGCTAAGTGCATTCAGGCCAAGCTGCTGAAGTTCAAAGTGAAACTGGGAAGGTTTGGGTGCAAAGTGACTTTGAACATGGTTGTTGGTGACAGACAGGCTGATTGATCAGCTTGGATTTGCCCACAAAACCATCTTGTAGGGTTTACAGAGACCAGTATGAAAAAGAAACTACCCAGTGAGCAATTCTCTGAGCAAAAATGCCTCATTGATGCTGCAGTCTGAGGAGTATAGGTATTCTGCATCGAGCTGATGCGAAGGAAACAGTAGCTCAGATGACGGCTCATTAAAGCCAGTTATTCTTAAAGGGCTACAGCAGGAGCCGATTACAGGAGGCACCACTTCAGCTAAGAACAGGAAACTGAGGCAACACTTTTCACAACAGAAGCCAGGAAACACTCATTTGATGAGCCGCAATTTCTACAGCAACATTCAGACAGGAAGATCAGAATTTGACATGAACATGAAAACATGGATCCATCCAGCCCTGTGTGCAGCACACTTTAGGTCTCTAAGTACCAATTAAGTTAGAACTGTGCGACACGACAGAAATCTCAGATATGTCACAGTTCTCGTCCCGAGAACGATATAAAGCACAGCTTTTCCTGTCAGCTCAGTGACTCTTGGGCAGCTTGTGTGAAGTGGGCGTCGAGTGTTTTGACCGATGCATTAAACGATACATTTCTACACATAAGTTGTAACAGCCGCCATCTTCTCTGGTTTTCTCTGTGCCTGCATCCACGCGGTGACCATCCAGACCATGAAAAAATATTGCCATAAACAGTTTTGCGACGCCGCGAAACAAACAACAGCGTATAATATGAAACAATAGATGTTTTCATTTTGTCATATCGCACAACGCTTAATTAAACATTGTTTAAATGCTACATTCCTGCCGAAGTATTGCCCGTCCCTTTACGACCACAGTGTACATGGTGGCTGCTTCCAGCAGGATAACGCATCACGTCACAAAGCTCAAACAATCTCAAACTGGTTTCCTGAATATACTCAGATGACCAGCTCAGGCGGTAGAGCAGGTCATCTACTGATCAGAAGGTTGGTGGTTCGATTCCTGACTTCCCCTAGCCAAATATCCTTGGGCGAGATACATGCATGTGTGTGAATGTTAGCTAGAAAACACTTAGAAAAATGTGCTGGTGTGAATGGGTGAATGCACAAGTTGTATAAAGCGCTTTGAGTGCTCAGAAAAGTAGAAAAGCGCCATATAAGAACCAGTCACCCCGCCCAGAGGACCTCTGGTGTGAAGATCAATCAGAACCTCTGACGAATGTTTCAGCACCTCGATGCCACCAAGAACTAAAACAGCTCTGATGTCAAAAGGATGTGACAGCGTGGCAGCTCAACAAAGTGGGCAGTAAGGCAGTAAGGTCATTGCTTGTTGTCTCGAGTTAAAAAGGTTTACGATTAGAGCATAAATATTGTAGAGTCGTTACCTCACAGTTTAAAGTGCAAGTGTTGCTATATAAATCAGCTGAATTGGTATTTTGATGTTATGCTGTTACCTCTAATGAGACAGCAAATGCTCCATGAACATCTCCTTTCATGTCCAGCAGGTAGGCTGTAGCTTCGTTGCAGTGGTGCTTCTGAGTTATCTAGAGATAAAAACATTGAATGTTTAACACGGTCGCCTCAGTCTGGCTGCAGGATGCTTACCTGTGCAGTCACGACTAACATGCTGCTTGATTCTTTCCACTGAGCTGCTCCAGCTTGCTGTGTTTATGATTGACACTCAGTGTGTGGGTGTAGATCATCCTTACACCCTGTGTAATTTCTTATATTTGAAAACACCCATTTAAGACTTGTGAATTTAAATTTACCTTTTAAATCGTATTTCCTACACTGTGTCGAGCATGCGTGCACTCTGCACAGTCAACAGCAAGAAAAAGAGTTCAACTGCATTTAAAGTGTTCATCCTGACTCTAGGCAACAATTTCAACATCACAGCTGCGCAGACATCTCTTCTTCTTAAAATGAGGTTAGTTCGGTGTCCTGGTGGATCTGTAGATACTTAACAGACTGCAGTAAAACTTCTAAAAAAGCAGCTTGAAGGCAAATGAAGCTATTAAAGACTACGAAAACCCTTTAATCTTCTTCACACCTGAAGAACTGAAACCCAGTGAGTTATCTCAACAACGAGGACCCCACAGCTTCTATCGCGGCTTCTATCACAGTTCTATCACAGCTTCTATCACAGCTTCTATCACAGCTTCTATCACAGCTTCTATCACAGCTTCTATCACGGCTTCTATCAGAGCTTCTATCACGGCTTCTATCGCGGCTTCTATCACGGCTTCTATCACAGCTTCTATCAGAGCGTCTATCGCGGCTTCTATCGCGGCTTCTATATATAGCTATAGAAACTATGTTCTACCCAGACACACTCAAGATTACTCCATACATTAACTAATGCAGCTGTTTATGGAATAATTTGGTTTTTAACTTCTGTACACAGAAACATGCAAAGAAGAATTATAATAGTACTTGTATTGCATCTTCCAGTCTGTAGTGCTGGGAGGTGTGGAGAAAGCTCAGAAGCTGGTCTGGAGCAAAGCGGCACATTAAATCCAGCAGAAGCTCATGGAGGTCACCTTCTTGAGGTAAGATGGACCCTGAATGAGGGCCTTCCCTGAGAAGAGCAGATGACCACATAAGGAGAAGAAGAACATAATTAGGATGAGAGAGAGAAATGCAGGATTGATTCAACTTTGTGCATCTGCAAGTCCACTGGCTCCTGCTCATGTCCAAGTGGTTTTCACTATCAGATGCTGAGCACAAGGGTCCCCACAAAGCTCTGTGCAAACATTTGCGTGCCTCCCAATCTTTCCTGACGACACACTCACAGCTGGACAATTTACATGGCACCAACTATGCACCTGACTTAAACTGGAGTATAACAGCAGAACTACTTGGCAATAACATCTCCAGCTGTGTCTGCAAGAGAGCATAATCAAAGCTTAAGACAGCAGATGGTAAAACGCACACCGTACCGTGGCTCCAAGAGGCAGTTGAGGAAATTGAAAAGCAGCTGATCATCCTTGAGAGAGAGAGAGAAGAAGAATATTTTACATAATCACTCAAAAAATAGGAGAATATCAAAGTATAATGTCTTAATAGGAAACAGTTTCTATGCATTTAACCTGCTTTGATGGTGAATGGATCGATTTTTTAGCACTTTTCTACTCTCCTGAAGCACTCAAAGCACTTTATACAACAGGCCTCATCTAACAATCACACACCGGAGAGCGACTTGGGGTTAGTATCTTGCCCAGGGATATTTGGCATGCTGACTGGAGCAGCCAGGGATGGAACCACCAACCTACTGATGTGATGGAGACCACTGCTTTCTCTTCATCCCTGCTGAATGATCTTTTTTCCAGTTTTGCTTTTCTAGTGTCCTTGTCAAAAGATTGTATCACAGGTTACAGGTAGTCCAGCTCCTCCAGGATGTCACATTCACACAGGTTTGCTGCGCCTCAACATGAGAGGAGACGAGCTGCTACATGACAAGAGCCAAACAGAGCTCTAGATGGGGATCAAACCAGAAGCAGGACTAGTATCTGTTCCTTTGTGTGAGCAGGGACGGTAAATGTATTTATATAGCGCTTTACTAGTCCCTAAGGACCCTGAAGCGCTTTACACATCCAGTCATCCATCATCCACACACTGATGGCAGCTACATTGTAGCCACAGCCACCCTGGGGCGCACTGACAGAGGCGAGGCTGCCGGACACTGGCGCCACCGGGCCCTCTGACCACCACCAGTAGGCAACGGGTGAAGTGTCTCGCCCAAGGACACAACGAACGACACTGTCCAAGCCGGGGCTCGAACCGGCAACCTTCCGATTACAAGACGAACTCCCAACTCTTGAGCCACGATCGCCCCACAGAAAGAGCACTACCAGAGCTCACTGTGACACAACCCTTACACAATCACTGTTTAGCAATCCTCCAAAAACTGGTCTTCAGTTTGATAGGAGTCAAACTATCTCAGCATCCTCTGATAGGAGCTCTGGCAACGGCTCTGAAAGAGGGACTAAAATTAGACTTGAAGCCCAACATTATGACTTAAGAGACAAATGAACGGAAACTGGGAGGCTGTAGCTCACGAGTTAGAGCATCTACTAATTCTAAGGTTGGTTGTTTGACCCCTGGCTGCTTGAGTCTGCATCTGTGGACAAGATACTGAACCCTGCTCTGCAATTCACTGATGAAAGTGTGAATGTTAGATAAAAAGCAGTTATGGAGAGAAAAACATGCATGTGTGAATGAGGCATGCTGCATGAAGTAGAAAAGTGCGATATAAAGACTATTGTAAATACTGTACTATTCACAGCCCTTTGGAAAATGCACAACATATGTATTTTATCTGATACACAACAAACGAAGAAGGCAAAGGTTTGGACAGCAGTCCTCAGGTTTTAATATTTGTGCTGTTCGAGGCTTCGATTAGGCTTCAGAAACTACAACGAGGAATAACATCAGTATTTCTGTTGACCTCACCTGAAGCTCAGAGACGATGTGCTGCACCTCGGAGGTGAAATGAAACAGCACTAAGTCAGCTGATTTGCTGGGGTCAAGGGTCACCACGTCCTGTGAAGGTATGTTACAAAATGTTTTGGTATTTTTGGTCAGACAGTTTCATCCTTCATTCATCCTCCTGAATTTGCAAATACAGACATGTGGAAAAAAGGGAAACATTTAAAAATAGCAGCAAACTGGGATTCAAGCAGACTGCAAGTGCTTCAACTATTAGTTCATGTCTACTTAGTCTCTGAGTGTTTAGACAGGTTGATATTTTGTAATTCGTTTTGCATCTGCAATCACAGAATATTTCAAATTCATTGACCAAGATGAGATCGGACTGTCTGAGAATTACAGCTGTGTTTACACAAAGACTCCACGAGGCCATGTTGGTTTTTTACTTTGTTTTTATTTATATAGCACATTTGAAAACAGCAAAATGTTGGCCAAAGTGCTGTGCAAAGATGAAAGATTACACAGTAACAAACAATATCAATGACAGATTTGCGGCGCCGCAAACGCCCGGTCACCTGTGTGAAGCAGCCTGGACTCAGACGTGGCCAGGAGCAAGAGATCACTTGATCTAAGAGCTCAAATAAGGCTGCAGCCAGTCAGACAGATACTCTGGAGCCTGACCGTTCAGCGCTTTATATTCATCAATAAAATGTTGGATTTAATTCTAAAGCGGACTGGGAGCCAGTGAGGCGAGCACCGGGGAAACGCGTTTGCGTCTCTTCGTGTCAGGAGACGAGCTGCAGCGCTCTGGACCAGCTGGAGCCGTGCTAGACAACGCTGGCTAACAGCTACATATGAAGGATTACAGTGGTCCATAAAAGCGTGAACTGCCCGTTTTAGTTTTTTAAAAGATAAGAATGATCTCACCTTGGATAAGACTTAAAAAAGGACCGCTGTACAACAGAGTTAAGTTTACCTTTGAGTAACAGATTATTATCAGGGATAACCCCCAGATTTTTGGCATGCGGTTTAACACAAGGTGCCAAAGTGTGCAGATCCGGGGTACTAGAAGAGCAGCTTGATCCAAAGATGATCGCTTCAGTTTTTTCCTCGTTAAAATTAAGAAAATTTGAGGCCATCCAGGTCTTAACTTCGTCGAGACACTGAAATAAGGATGAGCATGTGTGTCAACTGAAACCAGCTCACAAGTGTTAACTGATGGTGTGCTGACAGAAGCATCAGGATAACCTGTGACGTGTACAGGGCGCGCTGCAGACTGATCAGACAGCAGCTCAGAGTGCAGACGGGAGACGACCACAGAAAACTGCAAAAGCAACCCGAGAGATCCTCAAGACAAGAAGATAGCTAGCTCAGTGGGTAAAGTGTTGGACCCGTGATCAGAAGGTCAGGGGTTCGAACGGCTACCCTTGAGGTACCCCTGAGCAAGGCACACTGCTGCCCACTGCTTCACTGAGTGATCGGGTTCAATGCAGAGAGGAATTCCCCCACGGGGATCAATACAGTACACATTATTGTTATTCATCTAATCGTGATCCAACGCAGCAGCTTCAGAGTGAAAAACATTATTTGTTATATACTAAGACTTTCTTCCTGCAGTGGCATATCAATGCTTAACCCTCGGTAAGGCAAGTGCAGGCATGGAACCTCCCAAACTCAGACAGCGTCCGGTTTCCTTTCTCTGAATAGATAAGACTTCATTATCATATCTACTACATACATCCTGTGTTTGATCTGTGTAGGGTGACTGGATTTCTGCCTGGCAACAGGGTAATAAAGATGTGGCAGGAAACTATAGGGTCTGCTTCCTGTGTGGACTGAAATCATTTCTACAAGAATAAAACTAACAAAAGACCAAAAACAGCTGTTGATTTCTTTTATTTAATGCACTAAACACAACAAGAGAGAACCGCAAACAAGGAGCAGCTTGAGGTGTCAACAACAAAAGCCTGCCAGAGCATCTACAGACAGGAAACAGCATCTGTATGCCCACAGACGAAGGACATCCAAGACATCTGACAGACCTTCAGACCAGACTGATTTCTGAGCTTCTGTCATTTGGGACAGTTAAGGCCACACTGTTGTTAAACCTCTTGAATTAAAGCTTCCACTTTAATCCAATGTTGATTGTCTTTCATGTTGAAGCACAAAATTACAAATACTTGTACTAACTGTCGACCCTTCACAGTAACAGTGACGCATATATTGCAAATACACGTTTGTAAAAAAGACTTTGAGTCAAAAGAGAAACCAAAGTGGACTCACAGCAGTCAGAGTCAGAACAGGCTCTTTTGTGAACACTCTGCTATTGACAGAGTGAGCGACCTACAGCCTGCTAACCACTGTCAGAAATGTTAGAAATCTCTCATTAAACACCTACACCTATATGACCCATTTAGCCTGTGACTGTCACACTCAACCCACCATCTACCACAGTAATAAGCACCAGGATGTAATGCACAGCTGTGTGTGTGTGTGTGTGTGTGTGTGTGTGTGTGTGTGTGTACTAACCCTTATGTGCTTCAGCACTTTGCTCTTGACTCGTTGTTTTTCCTCGTGGCTGTATCCAGGCATGGACAGCAGGTTGTGGATGTAGTTAAAGATTTCCCACTGACAAACAGTCACACTCAATTATTCCATAGATATAATATCTACATATACAGCATAATACATTTGCAAGTTTACACTTTTAAGTCGAATGACCTGAATAATCTCACCTTTCTGAGGGGGTCTTTCAGGTAGCAGTCAATGATCATGTCATACTGATGATTCTTCTCATAAAGAAATTCACAGATTTGGTAGCTGGTGGCAAAACACATGATAATAAGAAGAAAATCCTGCAGCATTGCTACCATTTGAATTACATGATGTGTTCATATATAAACTCTCTCAGCTGTTTTCACAGGTAACGTATGTAAGGCAAAAGATCCACACTCTTATATCATCAGTGTTGATGTGAAAATGCACAAGAGTGAAATTGGTGTATCACAAATATGTCGTGCATATCAAATACTGACAAAGTTAAAGCAGCAATAAAGCACTATGTGTATTTTCTCTCACTCACATGGCTTTGTGCTATGCACTGTTCATAAGGACAAATCTATCAGTAACCTTCACATTTAGAAACTTCTCAACTTTCCCTTCTCTGAGTCCAGGTTTACACACGATTTCAGGTTTTTGCCAACCAAATCCAAACTCTGCTTGGTTCATCTGTTGCCCTCAGTGTGCACTTGTTTAAAGCAAGAAAACTCAAAGAGACATTTTTCCTTCAAAGGCTGGTGGAACCACAGCAGTCAGTAAAATCAGGAGTGAACTAAAAGTTGCTCATGCAAAGTTTGCATACGTGTTGATAAATGCTGCAGTTAAAAGTTGTTAAAACTGAATTCTCCTTCGTTGTGTTCAGCTACTTACAACTTGGCTTTCTCTGCCAGCATCAGGAGTCTTTCTTCATTAAACTGGACCACGCCCCCGACCTGCAGGAGCTCCAGCAGAACCTTTAAATCAATCACAAAGTTAGTTATTACGCTTGAATCAGCAGCTGAATGCAGTAGTTGTGGTCAAAGGTTCTCATTTACTCATCAAGGGCGAGCTCTAATGACGCAGCATCTTTAGTGACTCGGGTGCTCAAGTCTGGATTTTCTCTAATCTACGAGGTCTCACAGTTATTAAAGATGTATTCTGTACAATCAGTCGATCCTGGAAGGAGAACCGTTCAGTGAAACGATGATCCTGCCCACAGCTGTATGTCAGACAAGAACACCGCTAAAGTCCAGCAGCTGCTCGCTGCCGTTTACAGACTGTAGTTAAAAGAAGGAGGGATGCTGCGCTGTGGGAAACACAGACTTTCAGATGTGCTGCTCCGAATGCCAAATTCAAAATGAGCTCATGTTTGTCTTAAAACGGTTCCTTTTCTCAGTGTAAACATTTGATGTATTTTCTAAGATGTGTGAACAAAGCTGAATACTGCTGCCAGCATCAGCCGCAGGGCTCTGAGGACCTGCACTCCCAGCAGTCCGTGATCCTGACGCACATTTACAACCAGAGCACAAAGCAGGCGACCACGCCAGTGTTTTAGAAAACGCTGCGTCTGGTTCCTGTGCCAGGAGGTCAACACGCTGGAGCTCGCTGACGCCTATCGGCACGAAGGCAACTGTTGAGAGTGGCGAGCGAGCGCAAGGTCACGAGAGAGACGGAGGTTTGTGTATTTAACCTGCTGCCTTTCAGTGTGTCGGGAATCATCGTCCGGACAACAAAGGAACTCCAGCACCTGCACAGACAATGAGATCATTGAAAGATCAGAAAGAGGAAAGACAAACCAATTCATTTAAAGACTCAAAGGTGAAACGTCATCGACTTGTTTTCAGTTCATAGTCGAGAGTCCGTCTGGCTTAAGTCTCGTTACATCTGCGAGAGGGTAAGATGTGCTGTTGCTAAGACTAGATCATCTTCAATCCTTCATATGTTACACTAATATGTTAATAAAGTCTAAACACTTTGTGTGCACAGACACGACTTTGCCAGAGGAATGAACACTTTGCAAACAGAGAGGTGCAGGCGGCTGCCTGATGCAGTTCACCTGTACAGATACGCTCAAGCTGTGAACAACACAGAATCAAAAACTCATTTATTTCAACACAAGTAAGCAAGCAGAGAAAACAGGTTTGTGTTTGTGCGACGTCACACATCTGGAAGCTGCTTCTCAAGGAGAATAATGGTTCTAGTTCCTCCTCTAAATCCAGGCAGGATTCGATGGTGTGATCCAAATTAGGAAATCAATCTGTTCATGGTCATGTGTTTTTGTGCTCAGGCCGTGAGGTAGTCAAATCAGAAATGCTGAATAAACATTGAAATTGCTTCGAGGACGGCCTAGCTCAAAAAAAGACTGAACGTATAACAGCTACTGGTCACCTGATCAAAGAGCTTCCTGTTCACAAACAGGGTGTTGTCTGGTTTGGCCAACTGACGAGCTAAAAAGGTGAAGAGTCCGCCCACTTGGGAGGGAGTGAAGTCTGCGTTGTCCACCATTACCTAGAGAAACAGAAAGGCAAACCACAGTCATGACTGCACCGTACTACACGAGTAGACGTTTGCCATTAAGTCCGCTTTATTTCCCAAATATGGTAAAAAATAAAGAATTTCTTATTTTGGGTTTTATCTACAGCACTGTGCAAAAGTCTGGAGCCAGATTTAGTTTCTGAAGGACTTCCAAAGTGTTTTCAGTGCAGTCCTGGTCCCAGACCATTTCCATCAACTTAACACTGAATCACTCAGTCAAAGACGCAAGGACGTTTTCAGACTATTTTTTATTTGTATCCACTAACTGGATCTATAAAATGCCAAAGATAGCGCAGCTGTTTTGTTTAATTGGTGTTCAGTGTGTCCTTCACAAAAGTGTGAGGCCTACAAACAAACAGATGAAGAACAGCATCTGAAAGTCATGTCCATACGAAAGACCCGACACACACAGGGTGTCGTGTCAGGAAGGCTGTGGGGCAGCTGGAAACAAGAAGAGCAGAGTGTGGGCGGCCAGCGCTGGAAAGCCGCCGCCACACATAGTAATAAAGAGTTCTTCACAGCCGGCGTGTGCGTCCTGTGCTCACTGCCCACATTGTCGTTTTACCTGAAGTAAGATGTCCACTATCCTCTGCTGGTACTCAAGGGCCTGCTTGTCATTTTTAAAGTCCTCAAATGTCTAGAAAGAAGTGAGAACATCATAATGAGTGAAGAACAACCATAAAAGTAACATTTCCCTTTTTGAGGGAAACTCCCACATCGGTCTGCACTCTGTGGTTATTAGCATATATCTACACTTGTGCCCTAAAGGTGATCTCTCAGGGTACTGTGGTGGTCTCCCAGTGCCGACCTGTCGCTTCACGTTCACTCTGCCTCTCTGCGTTAAGGGAACGCCACTTTTCCTTTCCTTCAGAGGACACGGAGCACACACGTTGTCGTCTGCGTCCTTAGCTGACACGCCTGGTTTCCTCTGCCACTCAGCATCAGTATAAAACTCCAGGCATCATCAGATCGTTGTAGTTGCACACACTCAGTAATACTTAGCGTGCAGTTTTAACGTTACCTTTTCCACTTCCCTGACGTTTCGGCCCAGTGCCCAAGTCTTGACTTTTCCTGACCCCTCCCCTTTGCAACCCTGCCTGTCAACTCTGATTCCCACTGCAAAGCAAACAGACATTAAAGAAAAGGCTGGACTCATCTTAAGCCTGGAGCTCCCTGCATACCTGCTCAGCTCCCCTGGCATCACACTCTTCCTCCTGTTTGTAAAGTAAGCTGTGTTGGAGTCCTCTGACACAGTAACAACTGTCAGAAATGACAGTCCAAAACACTGACCCGTGAATTCAACGTCTAAAAACAAAAAATGTGCATGTTAGCATTGAAGCGCACTGATAAATGCTGTGTGACGGAGCTAGCTAAGATGTGAGCAACTTGGAAAAGTATCTATATAAAGTTATCTACTCCAAGTTGATACCAAAGAGCTTAACTTGACGCCCAATAAACCCAGAAAAGAATTTGGATACTGTGCATGCAGAGCGCACTGTGTTTGATCACTGTCTCTGCATGCTGCTGCTCTGTATGCCCACTCTTTGTAAGATTCTTTATGTCCATGATTGTCGCTGTTTGCCATATTTAATGACAGACGATCTTCCCAGGGAACAAAATAAACACCCAGATCTGAATACATTCTGATTACATTTAAATTTTTAATCTCACCATGGCGAGAACATTGAGAAATTCCCTGGTGTCAAAGTGGAGGAGTGTACGAATAAATGGGAAAACGTCCTCTTCCTCGGACGAGTCGGCTGAGTGGAGACGGATTAGGAAGTCAAAAACCTGACAGACACAAGAACATGTCAAACATTAGTTACCAGTGTTTAGAAAAAAGGCATCACTGAAAGGTTTCTCTGGGATTAATCCACGGATGTTCCCGGTGACTGATTTCTGCGTCAGATAATCCGATGAGACAAACCAACGAGTCTAAAACTCCCAGAGCTGCTCAACAGATGATGCCGTAAACAAACACTTCTAACAGTCACACCTGAGGCGATGCTGAGCTGTGTGGACCCTGCATGTTGTACCCAAGCAGACAGAAAAAACAAGAAACGATGTTAAATGTGATACAAAAGTGTGTCTGCTGGAATGCTGACGACGAGGACGAATTTCACCTTTCAGCAGAGCAATGACCCCAAATGTGCATCCAAAGAAAAAAAATGGCTTCACACGAAGATTAAAGGTTGAATCTTTTTTAAGATTTCCTTTGACTTTGAGGATCACAAATCTGATCTCAGATCATCGTCTGCTGTTCCTCTAACAATCTAACAATCCCAAACTGAATCACGCTGTGAGTGGTGATCTCCAAGACTTGAATGCCATTCCTGCTTTCCCTTCTGGGAAGGCCCTGACCCAGAAGGCTTATGAGACTAAATTAGTCCCTATTATAGTGAGGATGATAGTGAGGCAAACATCCAGCTGATTTTGAAAACAGGCTGGGAGGGCCCTGACCCAACCAGCTATATTCCTCTGCTATATCACTAAAACTGTCCTTAGCCGTGTTTCCTTACACGCTAACATCAGCACATCGCTGTGGTTGGTTGTGTCCAGTTTACTCTGCTGGAGCGTCTCGTGACTGGTGCTATCAGATTGAACTGAACCGGGAAAAAATGTGCTTAACCAGCTAGCATTCTGTTACCAACCAGCAAGAGCAACAGTCTTCACTGATAATAGACGTTCACAGTATTAATGGACCTGCAGGCGCTGTGATTTATAATCACAGTACAGCGTAGTTAATCAGTACAACTGTATCTGCATACCTGGTTCTTGACTTGAACCACAAGGTCTTCTGGGATATCTCCAAGTGGATACGCCCTCCCTGCAAGACAACAGCTACACACACACACACACACACACCATATATTGTCAGATATATGTATAAACAGTGGTGTGTACATAATACAAAGATTAATGGCTGTGAAAAGTTCGACTCAGGTGCACAAACCTAAAGCCACGAGCTTAAAATCACAATAAACGTTTGACTGCTCGTCCACAGTAAACGTAGCATTTATGCTAAACAGAGGTTTATGCTACAATAAACTGAGGATGAGTTACCTTATGTACACGAGTAGTTTGTTTCCCATTACCACGTTCTCATCTAACCAAGAACAGAAATGCAGAGATTTATTTGATGAAAAGCTTTGCTATCAAGATGGACAACAACGGATCAAATGTGGTTTTTACCTGTTAGGCTCCTTCCCTCCTTAAGTGTTGGACCAATCACTGCAAACAGTTTCTGAAATAAAGAGGATTTATCAATCAATGAATCAATCGATTCAGATGTTTTTTTAAAGCTTTGTTAAAAAAGAAAAAGCTTTGGAGACGATCAGTAAACAATGCACCAGTACGTGGTGCAGATGGAGGCCCGTCTTCTCCAAATGACTGAATCAGCTCTGCTGCCATGGCAACCCTCTACATCTGCCTGACAGACTGCCCAACAAACGGGATTTTTACGAATCATTCTCATTGCCGGCAATAAGTCGGACTCGTTCCCGGTGGGTGATGGGCTCCGCCAGGGCTGCCCTTTGTCTCCGGTTCTGTTCATAATTTTTATGGACAGGATTTCTAGGCGCAGCCAAGTGGCGGAGGGCTTTCGCTTTGGTGGCCTCAGAATCTCATCTCTGATTTTTGCGGATGATGTGGTTCTGTTGGCTTCATCGGGGGAGGGCCTCCAGCTCGCACTGGAACGGTTCGCAGCCGAGTGTGACACAGCGGGAATGAGGATCAGCACCTCCAAATCTGAGGCCATGGTTCTCAGCCGGAAAAGGGTGGAGTGCCCACTCCGGGTCGGGGATGAGTTCCTGCCCCAAGTGGAGGAGTTCAAGTATCTCGGGGTCTTGTTCGCGAGTGATGGGAGAAGGGAGCCGGAGATCGACAGACGGATTGGGGCTGCGGGTGCAGTAATGCGGACGCTGCACCGGTCAGTCGTGGTGAAGAGGGAGCTGAGTGTAAAAGCGAAGCTCTCAATTTACCGGTCGATCTACGTCCCTACCCTCACCTATGGCCACGAGCTGTGGGTAGTGACCGAAAGAACAAGATCGCGGATACAAGCGGCGGAAATGAGCTTCCTCCGAAGGGTGGCTGGCCACTCCCTTAGAGATAGGGTGAGAAGTTCGGCCATCCGGGAAGGGCTCAGAGTAGAGCAGCTGCTGCTCCACATCAAAAGGAGCCAGCTGAGGTGGTTCGGGCATCTGACAAGGATGCCCCCTGGGCGCCTCCTGGGCGAGGTGTTCCAGGCATGTCCCACCGGGAGGAGGCCCCGGGGCAGACCCAGGACACGCTGGAGAGATTATACCTCTCGGCTGGCCTGGGAACGCCTTGGTATTCCCCCGGACAAGCTGGAGGAGGTGGCTGGGGAGAGGGAGGTCTGGACCTCTTTGCTTAGGCTGCTACCCCCGCGACCCGACCTCGGATAAGCGGATGAAGATGGATGGATGGATGGATTCTCATTTAAATCCACGTAGATGGAAAAACTGAATTGAATGCAGTGTTCACCTAAATGTTCATTAACCTTTATTTCTGATGAAATGAGACGATAACTAAATAAAAACTGATGCATAAGGACAAAAACTGATGAAATGACACTTTGCCACTGAATAAAAGTGAGAGGAAGCCTTATATTGTCTTCTGCCCTCTGACTGATACTGTAAACGTTGTTGTAGTGGCTGTACTTGGATAATGACAATGACGTGAATTCGGCTGTTGTCCCATTCTTGTCTGATAGCAGATTCCTGCTGCTCAACAGTCCCGGGTCGCCCGTGTTGTACTTTTGTTTTCATGCCTGCACAGACCTTCAGTGTTTATAGAGTTGCTACTACAAAGCCATGCTGTGGGAATAGATGTAGCATGAGGTTTAGCATTGTCTTGCTAACAGACATTGTGTGGACATTCTGATCTAAAACCTGTGCATACATTTCAGCTCTGATGGAGCCTGTGTTGCATACTGTTGATTAATGAGTATTTGTAGATGCAGTTTTGCAGATTAGTCACGCCGCCTCACTAACATACCTTTTTATACCCAATCACATCGCTGGCTTTTTGCTAAGCAACCACATTAGTCTCATCCATCTTTTTAGTAACACTTACTTTTCGTACTTTGGAACCTTTGTTGTCTCTTAAAATGACACATTTTCATTACTCGAATTCATGTCAGACAATAAAATAATGCTCCTGTAAAGAAACTGCCCTGCTATGACAAAAGGACCGACCTCCATTGGAGTGATGTAGTCATTCATCCCACTGTTGAAAACGTAGATCATTGCATCATAGAGCTGGTTCTCCCAACATACTTGGACCACCTACACACACACAGACACACACAGGACCATTTATCAGTATAACTGTACTCGGACTGTTCTCAGTCATTGGGTGGGCTGCTGCTGACACAAACACACAAACACACAGAACCTCGTCGCCATTTCTGATTTATATACCGAGTTTGACAGCTCGCACAGTTTTTGCTGGACGGTTTTTACTACACATGCATACACACCTGCTGGATGTCCAAGCTGGTAACATCTAGGTGGACGATGCATCTCTCCAGACTGTCCATCATACCATTACTATGGTAGTGGTCAAGGAGGTCCCTCATAATGGCTGCAGTGAGGTGTCCAACACGATCAGCGACAACGTACGACTCCAGCGACTCCAAGAACACAGCCTTAGCAACCATATTCTCTACCAGCCGCGAATACAGCTGGTTAAAGAGGAGGTCACTGTACACACACACACACAC